ATGCACTCTGACATGAATCAATACTTTGGAAGTGTATTGATGCGTTTGATGAGCGCAATGAATAAAGGGATGTTAGGGTACCCTTAGTTCATTTAATCTGGAAGGTAATGAAAGTGTCGGTCAGAAACGTTAGTCACTTTTCAAGACAGAAGTACACTACTTAGGCCCAAGAGATCTCCAAGGCTCTTCCTTTAAATCAAAAATGCTCTATTTTTAAATCTAAAAACGTTATTACAATTCGGTGAATCTGAATGTTGATAATAATCTACAAAGAGTTCCCCGGAGCTGATTTTATCTCAACAGCCTACGTTGTTTCAATATAAGTCAAGTGATTACAATCATAACACTAGATACATGTTTAGGTTTAGAGGTCATCTGCACCTCAMTATAAAGTGCAAATTGACGTGCAATAGCTGGTGTAGGMTCTKATCACCTGTTAGRCCARCAYAGTATAAATATCGAGTAGTTTTATGAATTAGTCAACTAGTTTGTGCCATCATGAAGAGCGTGGTCATTGTTATAGCCWTTCTGGTTCTGATTTGTGATCAGCTTTGCGCTTTTTCCTTGGGCGCTGAGAGGCATTACAGGAAAGGAAGGAGAGGAATCAGCAGGGTAAGTAGTGGGAATAAATAGTGGATGCAGTTTGAGGCGTAAGTGTGTACATGTCTTAAAAATTGTTGTCCGGCTTTTTATTTTACTTTATTCTTTGATCTCTGCTTTTTCAGCTCGTTGATTTCGTTATTTTCAGTGGATTTCTTGGTTTCTTTCTTTTCAGATTATAAGTGCTTCTTTCTATCTTCAATTTTCTGTTGTTGCTGTTGTTGTTGTTTTCTTCTTCTTCTTCTTCTTCTTCTTCTTCTTCTTCTTCTTCTTCTTTTTGTTGTCTTCATGTTATCAGTACTGTCCAACTTCCCTTTTTCTGTTTCCTACTCTTTTTCGCCTTTTTCACATCTATTTCGTTGTTGCTAATGTYATTTGCAGTTGTAGCTATCGTTGTTGTTAGTCCTGCCCTGTGTACTTGCGTTTTATGCTGTTTTCGCCTTTCTTGCCTCTCTTTCTTCARTCYKGTTGCTACTGTTGCTATTCGACTTCAAGTGAACTTTATCAAATTTCATTATTTTTTTTTCATTTCCAAATTTTTTAATCTATCTTATCTTTCCAACCATAGCGTCAAGAACCTGCTTTGCAAGCAGTTTGCCAGTTTGTTCGAGTCCTACAAAAAAGTCAAGTCCCGACACTTCATTTGGAAAAGCGTGTATCCAACATTTGCCATTTATGACACTGGTGATATATGGAAATTCATGCATGAATTCACCTAAATATCCTAAATTGTAAAATATTTTGTTTGACTTGGGACAATAAAACAATGCTCAAAGAGCAGATTAATAAATGAAAAAAAAAAGAATATATCTGAAAATTAACTCCCAACATGTAAACAGTCAAAAAGCAAAACATAMAAACAAGCACAATGGTTTTTCAATTTTTGTGAACATCTTGCAATCTTGTGTGACGGCAAAGAGAGCAAGAACTAATCGCTTAAAGTACTTTAATAAAAGATTCACTTTTATAATGGAAAATTGGCCCTAGAATATGGTTATGGCATTTTTCATGAGAAAATAAGAGTATTTGTCGTAGATTACCTATGGTTTCAATCAGAGAAGCTGCATTGCACTTGAATGTCAAAAAAATTATCAAAAAGGCCATGCTCTTGTTACACTTTGTGAACAATATTTGTATTGAAAGAACTTCTGTATTGTAAATGTCATTCAGAAGAAAAACTATTTAACACAAAAATTGGGGAGCGCAGCATGATGTTGGCTGATGAAAGGATCCTTTTTTCCCAGCTAACTAGGAATGGTTTTGCGCCATATTTTTAGCATTGTCAAATAAAAGACCTAATTGGCTAACTTCTAACTAATTGCAGCCTTCGGGCCTGCAACAGTAAAACATAAACAAACTAAATACGATCAATTTGCATTTTGGAGCTTCTCCCGCAACTGACCATAATACTCTTCTAGAGCAAAACCAGTWTACACCAGAACTACTAACTCGTATTTATTGATGAACTATTTCCGTTTTAACATTTGCCCTGTCCAAGGTATTTCAATAACAATATTCTACAAAAACTGACGGTGACGAGAGGGCATTGGCTCAAAAGATGTTTCTAGCTTGGTCACATGGTTAGATTTCAAGATCATCCCAGTATTTCCTTGGTGTGGCCCTTCCYCTTGACGCTTTRTGAGCCATGAATTCTTCGGGCATAGGTTGATGTCTGACATCGGCAGTCATTTGATCCTGTTTGAAAAATAAAACACACTGATGAAATTTCCCA